TCCGCCTCCCGAACCTCCAACAGTGAGCAGGAGAGGAATGAGTGAGGGGAGGGGCTCATGAATGAATTCTACTCTGTGGGTCGTTACATGAGGACTGAGAGAAAAAACTGCTGAAGAAAGAAAACATGACTGAATGTGAAGAAAGTACGGAGGCCTGAAAGTGCCAAAATTAAAGAAAGACTGAAATTTTAATTTTATGAAATAATTGATGCATAAAATAGATTTTATAGTATTTTAGTGCAATTAAAGAAAGAGATATTTATTCAATTGGCTAATTTCATTTTTATATATTTATTTTGGCAGTGCCAGACATCAGCAGCTGTACGTTTATGAACAAATAAATTAATCAGAATCTAAAAGAAAAACTGGATCATTTTTCGATTATTGGGCTGAAAGAAGAATTGAAAGAAAAAGAGGAGGTGCAGACGTAACACACAGCCAATCAGATGCTGGCTCACCTCTCTGAGTGCAGCCATGGCTGCTCTGACATCATCCAGGTCTGAGATTGGACGCTGCAGACGCTTCGTGAGCGCGTCCACGAACGACAGGATGTCGTTCATGTCGGCGGATGCTCGGCGGTTCAGAGCGGCGCCGAAAGCTCGTTTCCAGGAGCGACACTCGTGAGTGAGCGAACGCTTCAGCTGGTCGGTGTCCAACAGGATCGAACCCGCTGTGTAAAACGCAGGGAGCTCCGAAATCTGCTCCTCCAGCCTCTGCAGGCACAGCAAGGCATCATGGGTAAATCCACTACACGTATGGTCAAAATCAGCTGCTCTAAAGGACGTGAGGGTCATTTTCTTTCAGCTCTGACACATTAGCAGTAGCGGTGGGTTTTGATCATCGATTTATCGATTAAAATCGATTCTGGCTTGGATAACGTGATTTCGATTCATTAAAATCCTGAATCGATTTTTTCATTTACATTTATTTTGCCCGAAACGCCAGAATCTCAGGTTAAACCTCACAAAACTTCAACAACCACCAAACAGCTAAAACAGTAAATGAGAGCAGGAACACGGCTTCTGCACAGAGACGCAAACACAAAGCTCGACCCGCCGACGCATCAGAATCAGTGAGATGTGACTTTCTCACCGACGGCACGGACACGGTCGGGGCTGAAAGCCGACAGCTCGCAATGATGATGATGCAAATGATGCAAAATTGCAAACGCTCAGCTGTGTCTCTAATCAAACCTCTGTAACTTTGCTCTGCTTCACTTCAGCAGCATCAGGTAACGTTCACGTGTTGATTCATGGTTTCTTTCATTTTTGATGTACTGCAGAATATTTTTATAAAATCCCAGAACAGGAAAATCTCCTTCATGCTTTTCTAGGTTTTATCCTCAGTTACTTTGACACAAAGGCCTCTGCTGTGATGCTCACACTTTGATAAAGTCTCGCAAGTGTCAGGTTTCTTTTTATAGATATAAAAATATGGAAATGTACTGATGCATGACCTGAATTATAATATTTCTGACTGTCTGAGGCTAAATTTCCCCAATTAAAATCGAATTGAATCGAATTGATTCTAGAAATCAGTGACGATACCCAGCCCTAATTAGCAATGATTGCTCTGTGGAAACTAAGCTAACCAGCGCCCCCTGCTGCACAACCACTGAACTGCAACTGCAGGACTGTCCAATGTTTATTGAGAATGAATTACACATAAATTACATTTTTCTTGGGAATAGAAACATTTGAAAAAGTGAAAACAATTTTATTTTGAACATTTATGACTTTAATTTCTGAATGTTTTTTCCTCCAGCTGCCCTTTAATGACCCCAGACTGCTGTACCAGTGATACATTTACATTTGTTATTATAAAAGTACTACTGCTGCACTGCAAACACTTTTCTTTTGTTTCCTTGTTTGATTTTGTGTGTTTACTAATAACTCAGCTAAAAACATAATAAGCTGTAAATGCACGGCGATGTTCAGTGGTGCGTCTGTAACAGGAAGTAGACTCACAGAGTAGAAGCAGATCTGAGCGCTGAACTCCGTCAGGGAGGGGTCGGACTGCAGGAAGGCCTGCACCTGCTCCTCTGGGTCCTAAACACAGCCAGCTGTTAGTGCAGCTCAACAACACTAAGACACACACACAAACACACACACACCTGGTTCCACAGGGTGGAGAAGTGGCCGAGGTCATTCAGGGTTTCAGCAGCCTGAGCTTTCAGGTGTGACACGATGGAGCTGAGCTGCATCACCAACCTGCTCCAAACATCATCATCATCAGAACATGCACTGATGGGCTGACTGTCATGTGATCAGGTGATGAACATGTGAAACTGATCAGACAGCACTGAGGACACAGACACTCTAACACTGTCCAGGTTCAAGCCCAGGACCCTCCTACAGTGGTGCAGCAGCACTAACCGCTGAGCCTCTGTGCACCATCTGAATTTGTCGCAGGTCACTTTGAGAGTTTGTGCAGGGACTGCAGAACTTTCCTCCACAGGACCCACTCTGTGTGTTTCAGTCAAAGGACGTCAGCTGCAGGTGTGATTGTGCATCTCTGCGTGTCCACAGCGTCTCAGCCAGACAAACATCCTGTCGTGTCTCTGCTGTTTTACTGACCTGCTGATGTCTTTGTGTTCAGCCAGCTGTTTGTCCAGCGCTCGCAGCACCGCTGGCTTCACTGCCACGTCCTCTCCTCCGCTACGACCCGCCGCCTGCTCCGCCTGAGAAACAGAAAGAGGGGCGGGATGAAGCTGGAGTGCGATTGGCTGCCTGCTACCAGGTGATTTTAAAGCAGGATGAGTCAGATGAGCGTACCTGCTGCTGTTTGTACTGCAGGTGAGAGTAAGTCCACAGAGGGACGTCTTTGGTCACAGACAGCACGACGCCCACCAGCTTATTCACCACAGACTGAGACGTGAGAAGGACACACAGGCTGGGTAACTGACAGCAGTGATGGGCAGGTGCATGAACATGACATTAACTACAAGGCCAGTCCTGTGTGGCGTCCTGCTGTGAAACCAGACGGTGGACCTGCCGACACATGAGAACTTCCAAAATGTTACTGAGGGTCAAATCTGCTCCTCTGGACACAAATACCTGAATGTCATCCAGACTGGGTCTGAGGACCATGTTGGGGATTGCAAGCTGGATGGAGGTTGTGAGGAGAGGTGGAGGAGGAGCTGGCTGGGCACCGCTGGAGGAAGACACCAAGGAGGAAAAGTGTGGCTGTTTTTTGGACACATGAAGTCTCCTCCTCAGGGCCTCCAGGGAGGATCTGGTGGCTGAGAGGAAACAGTCCAAGCTCAGGCGGCTTGTAAGAGGATTTGTTGGTTGAAACAGAGCAAATGTGTTTCTCTGGAAGTTCAGACTGAACAGAAGGAGGACAGAAGAAGAAGAGTACGATGGCAGGAAGGAAGAAACAGAACACAAGGAGACGTGGTAGAACAGGAGGCTGACCTTTGACCAGAGCTTCAGTGCTGCGGTAACAGAGCTGACCAATCAGGTTGTAGAAACGACAAGGGAGACACGACAGACAGCGAGTCTTCTGTTTGGAGTCTGGATGGAGACACTTAAAAGACCCCTGAGGACGACGAGCAGAGATGAATGAGTGTGTACGTGTGTGTGTGTGTGTGTGTGTGTGTGTGTGTGTGTGTGTGCGTGTGCGTGCGCGTGCGTGTGTGTGTGCGTGTGTGCGCGTGTGTGTGCGTGTGTGTGTGTGCGTGTGTGTGCGCGTGTGTGTGTGTGCGTGCGTGTGCGTGTGTGTGTGTGCGTGTGTGTGCGCGTGTGTGTGTGTGCGTGTGTGTGTGTGCGTGTGTGCGTGTGTGTGTGCGCGTGTGTGTGTGTGCATGTGTGCGCGTGTGTGCATGTGTGCGCGTGTGCGTGCGTGTGTGTGTGTGCGTGTGCGAGTGTGCATGTGTGTGTGTGCATGTGTGTGTGTGTGTGTGTGCGTGTGCGTGCGTGTGTGCGTGTGTGTGTGTGTGTGTGTGTGCGTGCGTGTGCGTGTGTGCGTGTGTGTGTGTGTGTGTGTGTGCGTGACCTCGAGGTTAACAGTCTCCACAGTCTTCATCTTCCTCTTCAGCTCCTCGATCAGTTCGTACACGTATCTCTCCACCTGCTGACTCTGCCTGCACACAGACACAGTGTGATGGACGCACACAGACCAGCAGGACCAAATCTGCAGTTCCTCTAACGTCCAGCAGAGGCAGCACTGACTCAGTCCCCATAGACTCCCATGTTAAACATGTTTACAGCCTGATACAAACTGTTTGGCGTCTAAAGCTCATTAAGGTTTAAAGTTGACATCATAAGGGGCGTGGCCTCTTTGGAGTCCCTGAACTGGACCTCTGGACCACGTCTGTTATCTGACCAACAATACAACTGCTGTGAGGTTGCTGTGGCAACACACCGTCCATCAAGGCTGAGCTCCAGGATTGGCTACTGAGCAGTAATAGGCAGGTATCTGTGTGATGCACTAACCTCATGTCAGTAAAGAGAAACCATCACAAACATCACAGAAGTCACAGTTTTGTGTCTGAATATTGTCATATTCACTTTACTTGTGATCTCACATCTGCTGCTGAGCCTGATGATTAATATATGTAAATATGGGTTTTGCTACGGCTGAACTTCTGCTTGTTGCTTTCATTTGTTTGTGGGAGTCTTTCCTCTGACTTTATCGTCACCAAGTTCTTTATTTTTCTGTGTCACAGTTTAACAGCAGGATATTTACAGCAGTGGGTGAGCGGCTCGACACAGCTGCAGAACTGTGACTCATGTTAAATAAATATAGCCTTTCACGTGCCAGTGTTACTGTCAGTGTTGCTGTCAGTGTTGCTGTCAGTGTTACTGTCAGTTTTGCTGTCAGTTTTGCTGTTACTGTCAGTGTTACTGTCAGTGTTGCTGTCAGTGTTGCTGTCAGTGTTAGTATTACTGTCAGTGTTGCTGTCAGTGTTACTGTTACTGTCAGTGTTGCTGTCAGTGTTACTGTTACTGTCAGTGTTACTGTTGCTGTCAGTGTTGCTGTCAGTGTTACTGTTACTGTCAGTGTTACTGTCAGTGTTACTGTCAGTTTTGCTGTCAGTGTTACTGTGAGTGTTACTGTTGCTGTTAGTGTTGCTGTCAGTGTTACTGTTACTGTCAGTGTTGCTGTCAGTGTTGCTGTCAGTGTTGCTGTCAGTGTTACTGTTACTGTCAGTGTTACTGTCAGTTTTGCTGTCAGTGTTACTGTCAGTGTTACTGTTGCTGTTAGTGTTGCTGTCAGTGTTACTGTCAGTGTTAGTGTTACTGTCAGTGTTGGTGTCAGTGTTACTGTTACTGTCAGTGTTACTGTCAGTGTTGCTGTCAGTGTTACTGTCAGTGTTACTGTCAGTTTTGCTGTCAGTTTTGCTGTCAGTGTTACTGTCAGTGTTACTGTTGCTGTTAGTGTTGCTGTCAGTGTTACTGTTACTGTTAGTGTTACTGTCAGTGTTGCTGTCAGTGTTACTGTTACTGTCAGTGTTACTGTCAGTGTTGCTGTCAGTGTTGCTGTCAGTGTTACTGTCAGTGTTACTGTTGCTGTTAGTGTTGCTGTCAGTGTTACTGTTACTGTTAGTGTTACTGTCAGTGTTGCTGTCAGTGTTAGTATTACTGTCAGTGTTGCTGTCAGTGTTACTGTTACTGTCAGTGTTACTGTTTCTGTCAGTGTTGCTGTCAGTGTTACTGTCAGTGTTACTGTTGCTGTTAGTGTTGCTGTCAGTGTTACTGTTACTGTTAGTGTTACTGTCAGTGTTGCTGTCACTGTCAGTGTTACTGTCAGTGTTGCTGTCAGTGTTGCTGTCAGTGTTACTGTTGCTGTTAGTGTTGCTGTCAGTGTTACTGTTACTGTTAGTGTTACTGTCAGTGTTGCTGTCAGTGTTACTGTTACTGTCAGTGTTACTGTCAGTGTTGCTGTCAGTGTTGCTGTCAGTGTTGCTGTTACTGTCAGTGTTATTGTCAGTGTTACTGTCAGTGTTGCTGTCAGTGTTGCTGTCAGTTTTGCTGTCAGTGTTGCTGTCAGTTTTGCTGTCAGTGTTGCTGTTACTGTTAGTGTTGCTGTCAGTTTTGCTGTTACTGTTAGTGTTACTGTCAGTGTTGCTTTCAGTTTTGCTGTCAGTGTTGCTGTCACTGTTGCTGTCACTGTTGCTGTCAGTGTTACTGTCAGTGTTACTGTTACTGTTAGTGTTACTGTCAGTGTTGCTGTCAGTTTTGCTGTTACTGTTAGTGTTACTGTCAGTGTTGCTGTCAGTGTTGCTGTCAGTGTTGCTGTCAGTTTTGCTGTTAGTGTTGCTGTCAGTGTTGCTGTCAGTTTTGCTGTCAGTGTTGCTGTCAGTGTTGCTGTCAGTGTTACTGTTACTGTTAGTGTTACTGTCAGTGTTGCTTTCAGTTTTGCTGTCAGTGTTGCTGTCACTGTTGCTGTCACTGTTGCTGTCATTGTTACTGTCAGTTTTGCTGTCAGTGTTACTGTCAGTGTTACTGTTACTGTTAGTGTTACTGTCAGTGTTGCTGTTACTGTTAGTGTTACTGTCAGTGTTGCTGTCAGTGTTGCTGTTACTGTTAGTGTTGCTGTCAGTGTTGCTGTCAGTTTTGCTGTCAGTGTTGCTGTCAGTGTTGCTGTCAGTGTTACTGTCAGTGTTAGTGTTACTGTCAGTTTTGCTGTCAGTGTTACTGTCAGTGTTACTGTCAGATTTGCTGTCAGTTTTGCTGTCAGTGTTACTGTTGCTGTCAGTGTTACTGTCAGTGTTACTGTTGCTGTTAGTGTTGCTGTCAGTGTTACTGTTACTGTTAGTTTTACTGTCAGTGTTGCTGTCAGTGTTACTGTTACTGTCAGTGTTGCTGTCAGTGTTGCTGTCAGTGTTACTGTCAGTGTTACTGTCAGTGTTGCTGTCAGTGTTGCTGTCAGTGTTACTGTTACTGTCAGTGTTACTGTCAGTGTTACTGTCAGTTTTGCTGTCAGTTTTGCTGTCAGTGTTACTGTCAGTGTTACTGTTGCTGTCAGTGTTACTGTCAGTGTTACTGTTGCTGTTAGTGTTGCTGTCAGTGTTACTGTTACTGTTAGTGTTACTGTCAGCGTTGCTGTCAGTGTTACTGTTACTGTCAGTGTTGCTGTCAGTGTTGCTGTCAGTGTTGCTGTTAGTGTTACTGTCAGTGTTGCTGTCAGTGTTGCTGTCAGTTTTGCTGTCAGTGTTGCTGTCAGTGTTGCTGTCAGTGTTGCTGTCAGTGTTACTGTCACTGTTACTGTTAGAGTTTGTATTGTTGATTGTCATTTATGCTTACAAATATTTAACCATGGATGCTTAGAGGTGTATAATTAATTGTGTAGTGATAAGTTGGGTGATCTTTAACAGGCTACAGAGGCTTGGTGTGTATTCTACACTAGAATGCACACCTACATCCTGGAAGCAAGGGAACGTTCGTACCTTGTTTAATTGTTTTATGGTAGGATTAACGTAGTTACGTCTGTTCTAGTCTAAGTGCTTTTTGTGTATAAATGAACTGCTGGACTTCCTCACGGTGTTATCTAGGATGAGGGGGGGTCTACTCTCTTCCTGACCAAGGATGTTTGCTTGTGTGCTTTTATGACCCTTTGATCAGCAGTACCCCCACACACACACACACACACACACACACATCCAACACACACACACACATCCACCACATACGCCAACACACACACAGGCAAGGTACTCTTTGTTTGTATGTAGACGTCATATGTTAATGAACCTATGCATATTCATGTAACCTCAATAAAAGGGCAGTGGTACGGGAGAACGGACGAGAGCAACTGGGGTCAGGCGAAGGAACGGCGCCTGTCCGGTTCTCTCCCGTGCACGAGTAACATGAAGAACTTTGCCTACTTGTGTCTTGCTTTGCAGTGTAATTATATTGCCTTCAACGTTCCAGCGGATGGGTTCAAGCTACAAACCTATCAGTTACTGTTACTGTCAGTGTTGCTGTCAGTGTTGCTGTCAGTGTTATTGTCAGTGTTACTGTCAGTGTTGCTGTCAGTGTTATTGTCAGTGTTACTGTCAGTGTTGCTGTCAGTGTTGCTGTCAGTGTTATTGTCAGTGTTATTGTCAGTGTTGCTGTCAGTGTTATTGTCAGTGTTATTGTCAGTGTTGCTGTCAGTGTTATTTTCAGTGTTATTGTCAGTGTTGCTGTCAGTGTTACTGTCAGTGTTGCTGTCAGTGTTGCTGTCAGTGTTACTGTCAGTGTTACTGTCAGTGTTACTGTCAGTGTTGCTGTCAGTGTTACTGTCAGTGTTACTGTCAGTGTTACTGTCAGTGTTGCTGTCAGTGTTGCTGTCAGTGTTACTGTTAGTGTTGCTGTTAGTGTTACTGTCAGTGTTGCTGTTACTGTTAGTGTTACTGTCAGTGTTGCTTTCAGTTTTGCTGTCAGTGTTGCTGTCAGTGTTGCTGTCAGTGTTGCTGTCAGTGTTGCTGTCAGTGTTACTGTTACTGTTAGTGTTACTGTCAGTGTTGCTGTCAGTTTTGCTGTCAGTGTTGCTGTCAGTGTTACTGTCAGTGTTGCTGTCAGTGTTGCTGTCAGTGTTGCTGTTACTGTTAGTGTTACTGTCAGTGTTGCTGTCAGTTTTGCTGTTACTGTCAGTGTTGCTGTCAGTGTTGCTGTCAGTGTTACTGTCAGTGTTGCTGTCAGTGTTACTGTCAGTGTTGCTGTCAGTGTTACTGTCAGTGTTGCTGTCAGTGTTGCTGTCAGTGTTACTGTTACTGTTAGTGTTACTGTCAGTGTTGCTGTCAGTTTTGCTGTTACTGTTAGTGTTACTGTCAGTGTTGCTTTCAGTTTTGCTGTCAGTGTTGCTGTCACTGTTGCTGTCACTGTTGCTGTCAGTGTTGCTGTCAGTGTTACTGTCAGTTTTGCTGTCAGTGTTACTGTCAGTGTTACTGTTACTGTCAGTGTTGCTGTCAGTGTTGCTGTTACTGTTAGTGTTACTGTCAGTGTTGCTGTCAGTTTTGCTGTTACTGTCAGTGTTACTGTCAGTGTTGCTGTTAGTGTTGCTGTCAGTGTTACTGTCACTGTTGCTGTCACTGTTGCTGTCAGTGTTATTGTCAGTGTTGCTGTCAGTGTTGCTGTCAGTGTTGCTGTCAGTGTTGCTGTCAGTGTTATTGTCAGTGTTATTGTCAGTGTTGCTGTCAGTGTTACTGTCAGTGTTGCTGTCAGTGTTACTGTCAGTGTTGCTGTCAGTGTTGCTGTCAGTGTTACTGTCAGTGTTACTGTTAGTGTTGCTGTCAGTTTTGCTGTCAGTGTTGCTGTCAGTGTTACTGTCATGTTGCTGTCATGTTGCTGTCAGTGTTATTGTCAGTGTTATTGTCAGTGTTGCTGTCAGTGTTGCTGTCAGTGTTATTGTCAGTTTATTGTCATGTTATTGTCAGTGTTGCTGTCAGTTTTACTGTCAGTGTTATTGTCAGTGTTACTGTCAGTGTTGCTGTCAGTGTTGCTGTCAGTGTTACTGTCAGTGTTAGTGTTACTGTCAGTGTTGCTGTCAGTTTTGCTGTTACTGTTAGTGTTACTGTCAGTGTTGCTTTCAGTTTTGCTGTCAGTGTTGCTGTCACTGTTGCTGTCAGTGTTGCTGTCAGTGTTGCTGTCAGTGTTACTGTTACTGTTAGTGTTACTGTCAGTGTTGCTGTCAGTTTTGCTGTTACTGTTAGTGTTACTGTCAGTGTTGCTTTCAGTTTTGCTGTCAGTGTTGCTGTCACTGTTGCTGTCACTGTTGCTGTCAGTGTTACTGTCAGTTTTGCTGTCAGTGTTACTGTCAGTGTTACTGTTACTGTTAGTGTTACTGTCAGTGTTGCTGTTACTGTTAGTGTTACTGTCAGTGTTGCTGTCAGTTTTGCTGTCAGTGTTGCTGTCAGTGTTACTGTCAGTGTTACTGTCAGTGTTGCTGTCAGTGTTGCTGTCAGTGTTAGTGTTACTGTCAGTGTTGCTGTCAGTGTTACTGTTACTGTCAGTGTTACTGTCAGTGTTACTGTCAGTTTTGCTGTCAGTTTTGCTGTCAGTGTTACTGTCAGTGTTACTGTTGCTGTCAGTGTTACTGTCAGTGTTACTGTTGCTGTCTGTGTTACTGTTACTGTTAGTGTTACTGTCAGTGTTGCTGTCAGTGTTACTGTTACTGTCAGTGTTACTGTCAGTGTTGCTGTCAGTGTTACTGTCAGTGTTGCTGTCAGTGTTACTGTCAGTGTTGCTGTCAGTGTTGCTGTCAGTGTTGCTGTCAGTGTTACTGTCAGTGTTACTGTCAGTGTTGCTGTCAGTGTTGCTGTCAGTGTTACTGTTACTGTTAGTGTTGCTGTCAGTGTTGCTGTCAGTGTTGCTGTCAGTGTTACTGTCAGTGTTACTGTCAGTGTTGCTGTCAGTGTTGCTGTCAGTGTTACTGTCAGTGTTGCTGTCAGTGTTACTGTCAGTGTTACTGTCAGTGTTACTGTCAGTGTTGCTGTCAGTGTTACTGTCAGTGTTGCTGTCAGTGTTACTGTTACTGTCAGTGTTACTGTCAGTGTTGCTGTCAGTGTTACTGTCAGTGTTACTGTCAGTGTTGCTGTCAGTGTTACTGTCAGTGTTACTGTCACTGTTGCTGTCAGTGTTACTGTTACTGTCAGTGTTACTGTCAGTGTTACTGTCAGTTTTGCTGTCAGTTTTGCTGTCAGTGTTACTGTCAGTGTTACTGTTGCTGTCAGTGTTACTGTCAGTGTTACTGTTACTGTTAGTGTTGCTGTCAGTGTTGCTGTCAGTGTTACTGTTACTGTCAGTGTTACTGTCAGTGTTGCTGTCAGTGTTGCTGTCAGTTTTGCTGTCAGTGTTGCTGTCAGTTTTGCTGTCAGTGTTGCTGTCACTGTTGCTGTCAGTTTTGCTGTCAGTGTTACTGTCAGTGTTACTGTTAGAGTTTGTATTGTTGATTGTCATTTATGCTTACAAATATTTAACCATGGATGCTTAGAGGTGTATAATTAATTGTGTAGTGATAAGTTGGGTGATCTTTAACAGGCTACAGAGGCTTGGTGTGTATTCCACACTAGAATGCACACCTACATCCTGGAAGCAAGGGAACGTTCGTACCTTGTTTAATTGTTTTATGGTAGGATTAACGTAGTTACGTCTGTTCTAGTCTAAGTGCTTTTTGTGTATAAATGAACTGCTGGACTTCCTCACGGTGTTATCTAGGATGAGGGGGGGTCTACTCTCTTCCTGACCAAGGATGTTTGCTTGTGTGCTTTTATGACCCTTTGATCAGCAGTACCCCCACACACACACACACACACACACACACACACACACACACACACATCCAACACACACACACACATCCACCACATACGCCAACACACACACAGGCAAGGTACTCTTTGTTTGTATGTAGACGTCATATGTTAATGAACCTATGCATATTCATGTAACCTCAATAAAAGGGCAGTGGTACGGGAGAACGGACGAGAGCAACTGGGGTCAGGCGAAGGAACGGCGCCTGTCCGGTTCTCTCCCGTGCACGAGTAACATGAAGAACTTTGCCTACTTGTGTCTTGCTTTGCAGTGTAATTATATTGCCTTCAACGTTCCAGCGGATGGGTTCAAGCTACAAACCTATCAGTTACTGTTACTGTCAGTGTTGCTGTCAGTGTTGCTGTCAGTGTTACTGTCAGTGTTGCTGTCAGTGTTGCTGTCAGTGTTGCTGTCAGTTTTGCTGTCAGTGTTACTGTCAGTGTTGCTGTCAGTGTTGCTGTCAGTGTTACTGTCAGTGTTGCTGTCAGTGTTGCTGTCAGTGTTATTGTCAGTGTTATTGTCAGTGTTGCTGTCAGTGTTACTGTTAGTGTTGCTGTCAGTGTTGCTGTCAGTGTTGCTGTCAGTGTTATTGTCAGTGTTACTGTCAGTGTTGCTGTCAGTGTTACTGTCAGTGTTACTGTCAGTGTTGCTGTCAGTGTTACTGTCAGTGTTGCTGTCAGTGTTGCTGTCAGTGTTACTGTCAGTGTTACTGTCAGTGTTGCTGTCAGTGTTACTGTCAGTGTTACTGTCAGTGTTACTGTTACTGTCAGTGTTACTGTCAGTGTTACTGTCAGTGTTACTGTCACTGTTGCTGTCACTGTTGCTGTCAGTGTTACTGTCAGTGTTATTGTCAGTGTTACTGTCAGTGTTGCTGTCACTGTTGCTGTCAGTGTTGCTGTCAGTGTTACTGTCAGTGTTGCTGTCAGTGTTGCTGTCAGTGTTACTGTCAGTGTTACCAGCTCAGGGTGACAGCAGCAGCTTGGACCAAGCTTCCTGTCTGTAGCAGGAGGTCCTGCGCCGACACAGACGAGTCTTCAGGAAGGACCAGCAGACAGCAGGACGACATGGCCCCAAGCAGCCGGCCGATGCGACAGTCCAACAGGTCTGTCGCCATTTTGGCCACCAGGTCCACGTCTTTGAGAGCCACATACACATTCTGCAGGACTGACACAGAGTGGAAGGGAATCATTATCGATTGCTTATAAATCTGATGTCCTTTCTTTGTATATTAGCACAACAACAATGAGACGGGAAGCTGTCCGTCCTTACACCGCTCAGTGTTGAGGGCAGTCCAGGACAGTGAGGTGAGTCCAGGGGAGAGAGCTGCCTCCACACGGCCAATGAAGGGCTGCATGAGGGGGAGGAGGAGAGGTGGGACCCTGCCCACCACAGAGCTGTAGTCCTGGAGCATCTCCAGCAGTCTGGACCAGAGTCAGCACCATCAAAGAAAACACAAGTTTACCAAAGTGAAGAAGAGATGAAGACGAGTCTGAGATGAGTAACGTCGCAGAGAAAATAAATCATGATGTTGTTTAATCAAGAACAAGCGCCTTGTTTCTGTGAGCTTTTCTATCCAGCACAGAGTGAAGTAACAACAAGAACTACAAACCAAAGAAAAGACATTCATGTGATGGATTTGAGTGAGAACATCACAGAATGAGCTGCTGACGCGCCTACAGCTGGACTGAACAGCTGCTCTCACCGGCTGTACAAATCTCTGAGCTCTGATTCCCTGGAGGTCATCTTCTGGATGACCTTTGGCACGTTCACGCCCAGTTTGGTTATCCACCGAGCTTCCTGCAGCACCTCCAGCACCACAGGGTCCAGGTTCACCGAGACCTCCTGAAACAAAGAGGCTCTTTCAAATGTTCAATAAAATCTAAAATCTAACAGCAAATTTAAGGATCCAGCATCCAAAGGAAAGTGGAGTGTGTGGTGTTAGTTCACTGCCTGCAGAAACAAAAGCAGTCGGCTCTGGACTGTCGGTCACATGACTGAAATGTGTAAAAACGATTTGTTCAAATCTGAAAAAGATGATTAAAAAGTTAAAGCCACACACGACCTTAAAAGCTGCTTTCATTCAGTCGTCACAAACCTTGCTGTCTTCATGCCAGACCAGCAGGGCGGCGCTCAGGCAGCGTGGCGCACTCTCTGCAGCCTGACTCCACCCCTGCAGGTGCAGCACCTCGTACTGCAGCAACACCACAGCCAGCTGGTTGTAGCTCCGGGTGACTTTTGTCATCTCTGGTCCCTGAGACAGACACAGACAGGCGGCGTCACCGAGGACGCGGTCATCACAGAGATCATGTGACTGATGGGGTAAAGTCAGAGTGTGCACCTTCAGGAAGTCAAGCTTCTTCTTCAGGATCAACATCGGAGCTTCAACCTTCCTGAAGAGCTGGCGGCTCCAAAGGACCCTGCCTGACACCTGAGAGAGAGAGATCAATAACAAAAGCTCTATCGGTAAATAAATCATCTGTATTTCTCAATAGAAGCACAATAGAAGCACAATAGAAGCATCCTCCAGGACTGGAGTTTGACACTCGGATTTAAAGTAGTGAATTTCCTGCTGGTGTTTGTGAGCACGGGGTGAGCAGGTGTAAGTACCGGCAGCAGGTTGCGTCCGATGGGCGGCCGGTCCTTGTGTTTCTGGTAGGTCTTCCTCAGCAGCTCCAGATCTCGGCTGTAGCGCTGCAGCAGCAGCAGGTAGTACTGCCTCAGGTCCAAGCGAGCCAGCGGACCCGACTCAAACATGGCCAACAGCTCCAGCAATCTCTGCGTCTGAATCCAGACACATTGTTTCAGTTCTGTGTGTTTGATACGATAAGAAGTCGCTTTCAGTTCTGATTGTGTGAACTCACAGAGACAGGCCGGCTGAACCAGTCGTCCAGCAGAGACCGAAGACACTGGAACACACTCTGAACCTGGAGCTGGAAGTCTGCATAGTCTCTGTCAAACTGAGACACACAGAGCTTCCTCAGGACTGAACCACAACTCGTAACAGCTGGAAGAGCGAGGTAAGCTGAAGCCTCTGCAACCACCGAGTTATTTCTGATCATCATCCAAGACATCATTAGACAGAAACACACGCTGTCTGAACTAAACACACACTGTTGTTGTGTTTGCTGAACACACCGACTTCTCTTAAAGCAAATGGAGTCGAGCGTTTCAGGAAGATCAGACTGGTAGAAAGCCCTGAAAGCCTTTCAAAGACTTGTTCATCGCTCCACAGTAAGAGCATCTGTCCACAAACGGAGGAACTTCTGACTTTCAGGACTGTTCAGTTCAGCTTTGAGTCGGTAACATCCATCAATAAACCTGCACACTGGTTTCCTCTCTGTGTGAGCTTTGGTTCAGCTATGTCTCTATGAGCAGTGTTATAATGTCCACATCTGTGAGTGTGTAAGGGTGTGTGACCTGTGGACGATGTGCCTGCCAGATGTTTGTGAGCGTGCATACTGGTGCACAGAGACACTACAGCGAAGCACATGCTGGATAACATGTGTGACTGCGTGACTACAGTCTGATAAATAGCTGATAAGAACGGTGCTCGTGTTAGGAGACCAGGAGGGAAACGACTGTTCTGACCTCTGATGGAGGCTGTTGTGTTCAAAGGCAGTTAGTAAAAGTTCTCTTTGTTCATCCAGCTGCTCTGTGAGGTCAGAGTGTGATTAGTCAGAGTCCAATAAAGACATGAAACGTACCTGTTACTGTGTAATTAGCTGTTATTGGCTCATTCAGCCTCACTGTGAGAGAAGCT